CTATTTCACCGAGGAATTTTGTAGGCCCGGTTTCGTGATTGATCCTCTACGGTCACATGGTACATCCCAAGCACCTCCTCCTGCGGGCAAGTATAGCACCACAGTTTGTTAATAGGTGTTTTGGCGCTCCTCTGCTTCCTTGCAGAATCTGCACATGCCGTCTTGAATTATTCCAATCTTATTTAAGTGCCTATTTAGCTTGCAATCTCCTTTTAAGAATCCTGTTAGGATTTGCAGTTTTTTCTTGCTTTCTCTGATACGTTCTATTACTTCCTTCCTACCAAAATTTGTCAGGAGGTTCTTGGATTGTTTGTGTCCAATGAGTTAGTTCTATTGTTCCCTCATTTTCTTTTTATCGTTCTGTCTGAGGTACTCATTGATAATGTGGGTTCCGGCCCTGTCAGCGGTATAGCAGCCCCTTTTCTTGCAAGGGTGTCTTCCTTCTCGTTGCCTTCAACTCCCACATGTTCGGGGACCCAGCAGAGGCTGACCTTGTTCTGCATACCTAATATGTTTAATTTCATTTTGCAGTTCAGCACCTTTGACATAATGATATTTGAGCTTAGTGCTTTGATGGCTATCTGACATGATAGTTATGTTCTTGTTTTTGTACCCTTGAAATTGAATTGAATACATCTCTCGATTGCGTGAATCTCAGCTTGCGATATTCTGGTTTCTTTTGCCGTGGGTTCTGAGAACCCCTGTACCTTCTTGTGTTCTAGATCCGTCTGTGATGGTACCATTCTTAAAGGAGAATGTGAATGTATCATTTAAGCCTGAAATAACCATTGCAAGTTGAATTTTTTTTCATATGTTTGTTTTGGGTTTAATTTCTTAGCCTGATTGCACCTGATTCCTTAAAACGAGGTTAATTTATTTTTCTAAATCGGTCTTGATCCGCGAGGCCTGCTTCGTCTATTCAAAACCATAATCTCAAGTTGATCTGATTGATTTATTTGTGCCTGCCAGATTACAGAATTTTGTCGAGTATGTTTGCCATGGGTTGACATTACTGTGTGTTTCTTCATAAAATCGTATTTTTTGTTAAAAAACTCCTCAAAAATATATTTTTTTAAAATAAAATACAAATCAATCTTGAAGACTTAAGGAGCCTATAGGAGGATAGATGAATATACTAACATCGCCTATTTTTCATCTAGGAAGGAAAAATTCTAAAATATCGACGAATTTCCCTTGAGCAGGTATTGCAATTAAGAAAACTGTGATAAAATTAAAAAAAAAAAATCCATCGAGTCTGATAAAGCGTGGACCAATTAGAAGTACTTGTCACTGGCGCTCGCTATCCTACCATCACAGGCTCCCCAGACCAATTCGATCTTCTCACGTCTTCAACAGTGAATTTACAACCTCGTTATCCCAGCGGTCGAAGGGGAAATTAATTTTACTTAGTAATTTAAAATAATCATGAGCCCGTTCGTGCGTTCGTCGTGGATTCGTTTTGGTTCCTTGGCTCCAGAAAAAAACAAAAAACAAATAGACTTTATTTTTAATTGCCCCCTCTTTCTTTTATATTGACCATCTGAAAATGATCAAAAGTCTAATACCAAAAAGGACCTAAAACAAAGAAATTCACTCTACCTGCAATTTTTTTCCATCTGTTGAGTTATTCTCTTATAAAATGCAATCAAAGTTGAACGACCAGAAGTTATTTCATCACTATGCAACAGTCAATTTTCCCCCCATAGATAAAATCATAAGAGTGGATACTAAATCAAGGAATCTTGGGATAGAATGATACCGCTTTGAAAAAATTCCCATACCAAAGAATCATACATTATACGCAACTTTACATAAATATTAATTTAATAATTTCGCTTAGTTTTATTTTGTCGACGAATACTATTAAATACCTATTAATGTGCAGTAGAACTTATCTCCTCTTCCAGAAATTTAAATGATTTTTAGTTAAGAATACAACTTTAATTTGGTAGACGAATTGCTTAATAAATTGAAAAATACATATTTGTTATCTAGTAAGAAAGGTTATTGTTAAAAGAAACTCGAAAAGGTGAAAAATATATACGAAACTGGAAATAAAATAGAAGTATCGATAGATAGACAGATAGAGATAGATAAATAAATAAATAAATATATATATATAAATGAGANAGAGAGAGAGAGAGAGAGAGAGAGAGAGAGACATAGAAATAGATAGGAAATGTTAATAGATAGTGCATATCAACATTGGTATAAATCCAATTAAACAACATAAATATGAAAACATAAAAACGACTGCGAAGGCCTAGTAGATAGATATAGATCAATACAACTTTATGTTTGTTGCATATGACTTGTGTTTCAGGTTAAGGAATCGTGGCATTTATTACTCGAACCTAACTAAAAATAAAATATAAAAGTAAAAATAATAAAAAAATTAAACCTAATCTTTTCACCTGTCTAGTTAACTGATCTGGCAATCTGGCAACCTCAACTTTAAGATTATGGCAACATGAGAAACAAAATCCATTGTTCTTTCACAAAAAAATACGTTTTGATCGATTATTTGAAGTACATAAAACAACAAATAGATTGATAGACAGATAAATACAAAGAGCGAGCGAGTGAAAAACTTTATTTGATAATTTCTTACAATTACCTAAAAAAGCTACAAATTTAAAAACGTTAAAATTTTGTTTAGAAGGCTGTAACTATCCTAAATATGAATAACTATCTAATTTGATTGGCACAACATTGAAAGTATTGTGTGGGGGAGAGTGAGAGGGGTGAAGGGCTAAATTCCACTATTCGTAATATCAAAGTTCATCAGGTGATTCTACAACTGAAATGCAACAAAAAAGTTCGTATGGATTTGCGATGGTGGTGCGATTCCTTACCCTTTCCCAGATATTGTCAACCTGCTTAGCAGATAGCTAAGTAGCTCTTGGCCTAGTCATTTTTGTGAGAATAAAAAAACATAGAAAAGAGCGATTAATTGGTTTCGTTTTTTAAGCTTTCTAGTAGTATAATCTATTTTTAATATATCGAACCAAAATGCTGAAATTTGATGCTAAATGGAAAAAAAGTGTTGGCAGTGCGTAAAAGGGGAAGTGGGGTTTAGTCTAATGATTCAATTTTTGTCCTAGGCAAAATTTATTTACCACCTTTGACGTAATTAAACAGCAGAGAGAGACTGAAAAATAAAACAAAACACATAAAAAAGAGATAATAAACACAGCGAACAAGTAATGTAGAAAAATTGGACAAAATATGTACACTAAACACTGATAGAAAAAGAACAATACAGAAGATCTAAAACCCAACTTTAACCTAATAAAAAGCACAAAAAGAAATTGAAAATTGATTCAAATTGATTTTTTTCTTCTTTTCGTATGAGACAAATTCAGCGTAATTTGGTTGTTCATTATGTTTATTGCCTTTTTTATGTGTTTTGTTTGATTTTTACGTTGAATTTTTATTTTTTGTACTTTTTTATTAAGTTAAAGTTGGGTTTTACAACTTCCGTATTATTCTTTTTTCCGTTATTTTAGAATCTGTATTTAGTGTAGATATTATGTTAAATTTTTCTATTTTGGTTGTTGGCTATGTTTATTGTCACTGTTCATGTGTTTCGGTTCATTTTTCTTTCTTTTTGTAATTAAAGAAAATAACATAGAACCAAAATGCAGAAATTTTATGCTAAATGGGAAAAAAAGTATCGACGGTTCTAAAAAGGGGAACTGGGGTTTAATCTAGTAATTCAACTTGTTGTCCTAGGGAAAATTTATTTACCAACTTAAACGCAATTAAAAAGCACAGAAAGAAAAAAACAAAACACATAAAAAAGAGACAATAAACATAGAGAACAAACAATTTGGAAAAAGTGGACAAATTACCTACACTAAACACTGATAAAAAAAAAAGAAAAATACAGAAGGTACTTCTTTTACCTATTAAATATTAATCCATTTATGTTTTAATGGTCTAATTGACCATGTAACTTCTTCTAATTAATTATTCTTTTTATGTAAGGTCTTGGTTGAGATAAAAAAGTCTGTGTCACGAGCGGGATGACACTGACTTTTTTATACCAAGACCTAAAAAACATAAATGGAAATATACAGAAGATGTAAAACCCAACTTTAACCTAATAAATAAGAACAAAAAGAAATTAAAAAATTGATTCAAATTGAATTTTTTTTCTTTTCATGTGAGACAAATTCAACCTAATTTGGTTGTACATTAAGTTTATTGTCACTTTTTTATGATTTTTATTTTATTTTTACGCTGGTTTTTTTTTGTGCTTTGTTATTAAGTTAAAGTTGGGTGTTACAACTTCTGTATTGTTCTTTTTTGTTGTTTAAATCTGTGTTTAGTGAGATATTGTGTCCAATTTTTCTGTTTTGGTTGTTCTCTATGTTTATTGTCTCTTTTTATGTGTTTTGTTTCATTTTTCTTCCTTTCTGTGTTTTTTCATTAAGTTAAAGCTGGGAAATAAATTTTGTACAAGAAAAAAATTTGAATTCCTGGGTTAAACCCATTATGACACTGTTACCACTTTTTCCCTTAGAATAAAATTCCTCGGCCCCCTTAAAGGAAATTTAACGCTGTTTTTTTTTTGCTTTTTAAGGATTTTCTCAAAAATGAACAGTTAAAGATCTACTAGTAGATTTATGAAGAAAGCGGTAGATTGTTAAAACAATCGTTCTACTTTGCTATATTATCAAATTATTTACTTTGTTTATTATAGAAAAGTGGGCTAAATGTGGAGGTCGTGAAATTTTTGTTATTGGTGTAGTTTTTATAAAGAAATTAAGTATAATTTGTATAATTTCACATGTGAAGAAGCAAGGCCGATATTATACTGATGACAAATGACAGGTCTCATCTGATAAATATCTTTTCCTTCGGGGGCAAAAAAAAAGAAGGAGAATGTATTTAGAAGGAGGAGTTGCCCGAAAAGGAGGGAATGAGGATGAAAGGGGAGCCAATGGGAGTTGGGACCGGCCATCGTCCGGGTAATCGTGCACTTCCGTACTCACGTGTATCGCGATGAGGGTGTGCGATGCCTGGACACCATCCGTCGCCCTCACCCTGAGGCTGTAGGAGTCCTTCGCCTCCCTGTCCAGGGGTTCTGTGATGATTATCATCCCCGATGATGAGACGGTCAGCTTCCCCTCGCCACCTGAGACGAGGCTGTAACTCGTCTGGCCGATCGTGTCCGGATCGACGGCTTTCACCTCGGCCACCGTCTCGCCCACGCCGAGCTCTTCGGACACCGAGAACTCCGTCGGCATGCCTTCGAAAGAAGGAGGACTGTCGTTTTTGTCCAGGACGCGTACTTGGATCTGAAACAAAAATAAATAAATAAATAAATAAATAAAATTTCACCCAAATCTCACGAAAACACAGAATTTGTTAAACATTTTAATTTAAATGTAAATTATATTTATAGCGCAACCGACACCGATTTGAAAAAGTTAATAGAAATAACGAAATTGGAATTTTAAAATGAATAATCAAATTATCAACTGTCCTTAATTTAAAATCCGATTGCACCATTTTTTCCAGCGTAAAAAAACCTTTAAAATGATGTGTCAGGCTGTTATGGTCGTATTTGAAATTCTAAAGTTGAGCTGAACCTGAGGTACTCTGTATAATTTTTCTAAAAAAAAAGTAATGTAAACAAAAATACTCTCTCAGTAAAGTATACCAAAGAAATTTGGAAAAAAGGGAATTAATGAGTTAATCAATGGAATAAATACTTACTTAGATGACAAAAAAAGAAATCGCCAAAAAATCAACACATTAAAAAAAGTAAAAAGTAAAAGTACCGGAATTTTTTCAAATTGAGGGGCTTTAACGAAAAATCAGTTCAGCAGGGTGAGCCGAGGCCTATTGTGACAAACTGGTTCAACCGAAACAATAGAAATTTTATTTTTTTATTTTTATGAAAGTTGTGAAGTAGGCATTTTAGGATTTTAGGCTTTCTTGATATGCCTTTCTTGATTAGGTTGGGATTATAAAAAATGCCGACATTTTTTTACATTCTCACCGTAAACAATCAAGTGGTTTTTGCTTGAAAAAAGTCTAAAAAAATAAGGGCAAAAAAGGAAACGAAATCTATTCAAAGTGAGGTGCTTTAACTGCAAAACAGAACAGGTCAACAGGCTGAGCACAGGTCAACCCTGACAAATTGGACGAACCAAAAAAATTTTGGAATTTCGTAAGTTGTCAAGTAGTCATTTTAGGATTTTAGGCTTTGTTGATATGCCTGTCTCGATTTACGTTCGGATTATAAAAATTGCCGACATTTTTTCACATCCTCACCCTAAAACAACCAAGGGGTTTTGCATGAGAAAAAACATCTCCAAAAAAGACCGAAAAAAGGAATCAGAATCTATTCAAAGTGAGGTGCTTTAACTGCAAAACAGAACTGTTCAACAGGCTGAGCACAGGCCAACTCTGACAAATTGGCAGAACCAAAACAAGAGAAATTTTGGATTTTCCTAAATTGTCAAGTAGTCATGTCAGGGTTTTAGGCCTCTTGATATGCCTTGCTTGATTTAGGTTCAGATTAAAAAATGCCAACATTTTTTCACATCTTCACCCTAAAACAACCAAGTGATTTTTGCTTGAGAAAAACATATCCAAAAAAAAGACCGAAAAAAAGAAGCGGAATCTATTCAAAATGAGGTGCTTTAACTGCAAAACAGAACAGGTCAACAGACTAAGCACAGGTCAACCCTGACAAATTGGACGAACCAAGAAAATTTTGGATTTTTGAAAGTTGTCAAGTAGTCATTTTAGGATTTTAGGTTTTCTTAATATGCCTTTTCTTGATTTAGGTTGGGATTATGAAAAATGCCAACATTTTTTCACATTCTTACCCTAAAACAAAAGACCGTTTATCGCAAAACAGAACAGGCTAACAGGCTGAGCACAGGTCAACCCTGACAAATTGGACGAACCAAGAAAATTTCGGATTTTCGTAAGTTGTCAATTAGTCATTTTAGGATGTTAGGCTTTCTTGATTTAGGTTGAGGATAAAAATTTTTCACATCATCGACCTAAAACAACCAAGTGATGATGGGTTTTACTTTCAAATAAATTTTTTAATTTATTTACAAGGGTTGCTCTTTTTGTCATTTAACCCTAGTCATTTAAGTCATTTAATTTTATTTAAATATTCGTTTCTGTCTTTGTTCTGCATGCATTTAAAAGTTATTATACAGTCTTTTTTCCTAAGAAAGGAAAATAATATGTAAGACAGTCTTAAATAAGGTGGGATATGTAAAACTTAAATCAAAGGCACTTTCAGTAAAGTAGGCTAAAAATTTGAAAAAGTGAACTAAAGAAGACCTGCTGTGCTGGTCCTACTCGCCTCGCTCTCTTTATGTAACCACGGAATGCTGCATAAAAGTTTTCAAACATTACAAAAGTTCGATGTTTCGGGATACATCAATCGATTCGTGTTTTTTTTGTTTTTTTTGTTAGGACGAGAAAATAATTTGTAAGTTCACTAATTTCGTGATCCGCTTGACGAATTAAATCATTACAATTAATTAAGGTTTTTAGTTGAGATGAAAAAAAGTTAATGGCACGAGCGGGATTCGAACCCACGATCCTCGGCCAGATACGCCGCTGCTCTACCACTTGAGCTATCGTGACCTCGATCCACTCGGACATCAACTTCCTATCTCAACCCCACCAGAAGAGAAAACCCACAAGGGGGGGTTGAGATAGGAAGTTGATATCCGAGTGGATCGAGGTCACGATAGCTCAAGTGGTAGAGCAGCGGCGTATCTGGCCGAGGATCGTGGGTTCGAATCCCGCTCGTGCCATTAACTTTTTTTCATCACAACTAAAAACCTTAATTAATTGTAATAATTTGTAAGTAAGATAGTCTTAAATGAGATTAGATATATAAAACTTAACAAAAAGCAAAAGACTCTTCAGTAAAGTAAGCCAAACAAATTTGGAAAAAAGGGACTTAAGGAGTCCCTTCGATGCTGAAGCACAATTCTCAGGTCCTACTCGCTCTCTACATACAGCCAAGGAATATCATACATACGACGAAAAATAAAAATAGATAGAAAACATAGTTAAACAGGTTGAGCATAGGCCAACCTTGACAAACTGGTTGAACCAAGACAACATAAATTTTGAATCTTGGTGGCATTTTAAGATTTCTTTATATGACTTTCATGATTTATGTTGAGGAAATAAAAAAAAATTGAACACTTTTCTTCGAAAAGGTTACTTGCAAGGGCTTGATATTTTTGTTGTGTACGATTAAAGTCATTTAAGCTGTTTTTATTACTTATTAATTTGGACAAGGGACCTATCAAGTCCATACTGTGGTAAATCACAATTCTCTTATGGTTCTACTCGCTCTCTATATGGAACCAAGTAACGTGGGATATATCAATCAGCTACGAACACGTGGTTTAGATCCGTGTTTAATAAAGTCTCTAAAAATATTCTTATAAGGGAAATAATCTACGTTGTATTGGTTTGATTGTCAGAGAGACACGATTAATATTCCATAGGCAAGAATCAATATTTCCTCCCGTCTAATTTCGTATTCCGAAGCAATCAATTAATAATACACATAAACAAGTAATTAAAAGGTCCATTGTTCCTCCCGCCTTCGTGGTCGTTAATTCCGAAATTAATTATACTCCTTCAATGTCCCGTGTACGACGAGAAGGAAACAATCGACACTATTTGTTTATTAAATATGATCAAATTAGTTTGTACTGTCCGTGTCAACACCGGCCGGAGACGGAATGCCCACGTACGATTAAACATATCGGGACGGCCATCTTGGAAAGAACGATTTGAATAAACGCATGCATAAAATATTGGGAGAACACGATCAGAAAAAATAATGACATCGAAACATTGACTGTTTAACATTTATGACTTTACTTAATGCTTTTTATAACTGTAACAAATAGAAAATTATACAGGGTGGTTCGCTAATGTTACGTCAAATTTCGTACGTGCTTCTACATCTCAAATGCAACAAAGACGGACTCTGAAAATTTACTTTAAATTATATATTATGTTTTTTGCAATAAATTATCATGTTAAATGGAGAAAAAAAAGGCGTCAGTGAGAAAAAGAGGGAAAAATGAAACAAACCATATAAAAAAAGAGATAATAAATAAAGCAAAAACCAAAGCAGACAAAATAGTACAAAATATTTAGGACGATTATTTATTAATATTACGATTGACTGGGATATCATTGATGACACAAGGTCATACACCACATACTTTTCACGATGAATGAGGGAACCGAGAAGTCACAAATTTTAGAATATGGTACACAAAGGTAAACTGTCAGACTTGTACTCTTCACAAAGGGAGTTTGAGTATTTGATTTTTCGGAAGATTTTTGTTTTTCCAATGTTACAATTAAAAAAAAAATTTTCGTAGATTTTTCAATGCTCTTTCCATCGGTGTAATTAAATTTGCCGTAAATATAACGTTTAATGAGTTACTGGAAAAATTATTGGAATAAAGTTGTAAAAGATTAAAATAAATTAAAGGTGAAATATCTCCAATACAATTTTGAACAATAAGGGCTTTTTAGTCCAATTTCACATGTAGGATTAGATTGTTAAATATTGAAGTCTATTCACAGGGCTATAATAAAATATTAAACCTAAAAATACAAGTTAAAATTAACATAAAAATAAAATCTATTTTGGTTTTTTTCTTCAAAGACGAAATCCTCGTTGTTAGGCCTATAAAGCAGACGCCTACTTCTATTTTATCCAGAGACCTTCTAATTAATATAACGAGAGATATAACGATTATCCATTTAACCGAAAAATTCAGTAATAAAAATATATAATTTATTGCAAAAAGTTATAAAAATTACATAATAAATACTATAAAGTATCTTTATATTATATATTATGTGATTTTTATAAATTTTTTTTGCAATAAAGTATATATTTATATTACAGAATTTTTTTGTTAAATCACATAAAAAATAGACAATAAATATAGCAACGACCAAAGCAGAAAAATAGTACAAAATATTTACGACCTTTATTTATTAATATTACGACTGACTGGGGTATCACTGATGACAGATAGTCATACAAATCATACTTTTCACCATGAATGAGGAAACCGAGAAGTCACGAATTTTAGAATATGGTAGAAAAAAGTTGTTGGACTTTCATTGTTTGTGTGAAAATTGTGAATGTAACCTGTACAGAGGCTTAGAGGTTATATTTTTTATATTACATATTATGTAATGTTTATAACTTTTTTGCAATAAAGTATATATTATTATTACAGAATTTTTATGTGGAGAAAAAATGAAA